GCCCTGAAATCTTTTGCATTTTCAGTAAATAAAAAGTTACTTTTCAAAGTTATTTACTAGCCAATCAATATTAAACACTGTGCACCAACCAAAATTCGAACTCAGGATTCAGGTCCTTAAGGAAAATTATCATGAGTGTAATAAGTCACAAAAAAAAAAGAAGAAGTTTTTTACTCACAGTAGTTGTTAACAGGACTGCTACACCAACTATACACTTATTCCTGTTGCTGGTAGTCAAGTTACCTTACAAAGATGACAGCCAATTACAACCACAAGGTGGTAGGAATTTACAGGCTTGATGCAAAAAGACAATGTTAGCATCTCTGTGGTACAGAACACTACTGTTTGAAATGTGTGGATAGAGATCACTTTGGTATACAGGGTGGGCCATTTATATGGATACACTGTAATAAAATGGGAATGGTTGGTGATATTAAAGTCCTGTTTGTGGCACATTAGTATATGTGAGGGGGCAAACTCCTCAAGATGGGTGATGACCATGGCGGCCATTTAGAAGTCGGCCATCTTGGATACAACTGTTGTTTTTTCAATAGGAAGAGGGCCATGTGACACATCAAACTTATTGGTAATGTCACAAGAAAAACAATGGTGTGCTTGGTTTCAATGTAACTTTATTCTTTCATGAGTTATTTACAAGTTTCTGACCACTTATAAAATGTGTTCAATGTGCTGCCCATTGTGTTGGATTGTCAATGCAACCCTCTTCTCCCACTCTTCACTCACTGATAGCAACACCGCAGGAGAAATGCCAGCACAGGCATCCAGTATCCGTAGTTTCAGATGCTGCACATCTCGTATCTTCACACCATAGACAATTGCCTTCAGATGATCCCAAAGATAAAAGTCTCAGGGGGTCAAATCGGGAGACCTTGGGGGCCATTGAACTGGCCCACGACAACCAATCCACTTTCCAGGAAACCGTTCATCTAGGAATGCTTGGACCTGGCACCCATAATGTGGTGGTGCACCATCTTGCTGGAAAAACTCAGGGAACGTGCCAGCTTCAGTGCATAAAGAGGGAAACGCATCATCATGTAGCAATTTCAAATATCCAGTGGCCTTGAGGTTTCCATTGATGAAGAATGGACCCACTATCGTTGTACCCCATATACCACACCAAACCATCACTTTTGTTTGTTAACTTCACCATTCACATAAAAGTTTGCCTCATCACTGAACAAAATCTTCTGCATCCGCCGAAGGGATGTTCGACTAATGCCACTCTCCAGTGACATGCGGCGAGTGCTACACTGTGGGCTCTTGCTGAATGAAGCTAGGACAGCCACTGATGTTTCTTCATTAATGACAGTTTTCTTGCGTCCACATTTTGGCAACACTGAACCAGTTTCACGAAACTTAGCAAGCAGTTTGCTAACTGTAGCATGGGAGATGGGTGGTCTCGTAGGGTGTCTTGCATTGAAATCTGCTGCAATGACCCGGTTACTGCGTTCACCAGATATCAACACGATTTCAATCCGCTCCTCACGTGTTAACCTCTTCAACATGTCAATGGCTGTGAACAAAGAGAAACTTTTAAATAACTCATGAAAGAATAAAGTTACGTTGAAACCAAGCACACCATTGTTTTTCTTGTGACATTACCAATAAGTTTGATGTGTCACATGGCCCTCTTCCTATTGAAAAAACAACAGTTGTATCCAAGATGGCTGACTTCTAAATGGCCACCATGGTTACTACCCATCTTGAGGAGTTTGCCCCCTCACATATACTAATGTGCCACAAACAGGACTTTAATATCACCAACCATTCCCATTTTATTACAGTGTATGCATATAAATGGCCCACCCTGTACTTTAATGGACTTCACTCAGCACTTCTGCATGCCCTCAGGGAACACCCATGATGTTGACTAAGTCTACTTTTGCAGTTTGTTCACGTCTCTGAGAATGTGTTTGTCAAGAGTGGCTGTATGACTGTAGCAAGCAGGTTGTACTTGTACATTTAATGTCAGCATCTAAGGAGGTAAAGTTCACTTGTGATGACTGCTCACTCTCTCCCTTTGTCTGTTATCCTGGTTTGAGGTTGTTAGAGGTGGGTCCAAAGAGGAGTCATTCCTTAACTAACTTCTCAGATTGCTGTACAAGGGGTCTATGTGTGCCAACACTGAATTTTCCCCAGTAATCAGGAATATGTTTGGTTTATGGTTTAGATCCATGAACCAAAAATCCATCGTAATCCATACACTTTCTGCACTGTTGAAAGCTGCTCTATTTTCCTTCACAATTAAATATATTTCGGTTATTTCAAATATTTCACTGTTGTCTGTGTGGAGGTCTGTCTCTGTGTCTGAGCTTTGATATCAGGAAGCCTTCACCTGTCTCATTTATACTGAATAAAGAGCCTGAGGAGTTTTCTGTTTTTTCAGGTAACAAATGGGTACCTCAAGATTAACGCTGTCATATGTGAATGAGTGTTGGTTTCCTTTTAAACTGTCACTGTTTTTTTTTTTTGTTTTTTTTAAATCTGTGTATTTGCTCCTGATTTTACTTTTTTTGCATTGGTCTGAAATGGCCCAGCTTTGTTTAGTTAATGTGAGTAGATAAACAATAAAAACTGTCTTTATTTGATTTTTTATGCATATGTTTACCGTACACAGGTCATCACAGCAAATGTGTTACAGAAATGGGCATTTGCACAGATATGAATCAAAAAACTGTACTGCTAATAAATCATATTGAAAGCAACTTTTGCAAGACATGTTTTAATACAGGTTATAAGGATTTCTTATACATTAGAAAACAAAACAAATCACAAAGAAAACCCCAAAACATTTCACCTCCCATTGGTTTTTCAGTCGGGCTCTAATTTGAAGAAATAGATTTTTTGTTTTTCAAATGGACAAACAACAGGAATTGGTGTCTAGAAATAAAGAATAAAAAAATCTAAAATCTCATGAACTGCCATAAACCAGCGCAAAGGTTTTACTACTTGCAAAGGCACACAGGCTCATTATTAACAAAGGCAGAGGCATGGCAAATCAATTTACATAATTTTATTAAACAAAATAACTGAAAATATGGACCTGTGGCAAAGAAAACAGCAAATTAAGTGGTAGCACTGTCAACCCCCCCCAAAAAAGAGAAATTAATTTTTAAAAAAACCACTTTATCACCAGACATTGGTTTAAAAAATAAATAAATAAAAAATTCACCGCCACCAACAAATAGGAAAACACAGACAGTAGTAAACGTGATGGGAGAAAGACAATAAAGCAAAGAGGGTAAAACAAAAGGAACTAATCAACTCTATGAAATTCAACTAATTCCAGTTCAACTAAAGACTCAAACTATTAAGGAAATACAAGATGAAAATGTAAACGATAATAAGATAACAACCGAATTGTAAATATTTAATAATATTTAATAACAAAATCAATAAATTAAGGGACAAATAAAACACCCAAGCTGATATGTCAAAATCACAAACAATGCCCAAGTCTTAATAAAATGACACATAGTCACGCATGTGAATAAAGAACTTAACAAAGCATAATTTTATATTTACCAAGAACATTGCAGTGATAAAACTGGTTTGCTATCTAGGACTTTTAAAGCTTGATTATGAAGGGAGTGGTTTTAAAGTTATAGCACCAGCAGGAAATGCAGTTGTTAATATGACAGAACATTAGATTTTTCTTACACAACCTGGTTGTTTCCCTTATGAGACAAATTTGTTGAACGGTAGAGTGGGAATGAACATCTGAAGGACCACGCTTTAGTGTTCCAGAGGTGTAGCAGTCACAACCAGCTTATTCACATCACCAAGAGCCTGTAAATATGTTAGAAATAAGTTTTAATAACCTTTTTAATAATAATTGTAATGTATGTTCATAATAGAGTTGATTAACTTCTTATTAGAAAGTTGCATGTATTTAACTTCATGGTATGAAGGGGCGTGTTGAAGGTAGACTGGCTCACACTGACACCAATACAGATCACTATTAGCGAGAGCTGCCTTAGAAATGAGTGGGGGGTTATGATAGAATGGTGTTCCTGCACTGGTGATGGTGGGGCAAGGCACAGAAACTTTAAGGTGTCGGGTTAAAGCTGACACCAACACCAACAATTGGCATGCGGAAAGAGCACAAGGAGGACAAATCAGAATCAAGTTTAAACCACAGACTCTCTCCATCAATGGCCAATCACATGTATTGTCTGTCTTTAATAACAAATTGTACTTTGTGTGCACAGCTGTGCATCTCGAATTGTTTGATAATAAAATAGTGTGAACCACTAGATTGTCTCCCGACCTTCTTTCAGTAAAAAAGAACATTAATATTAATATTTTTACATCACTATGACTTATTACAGGACAACAAATGGTTGATCATTTATTGGTGTGTAATGTTTTTAAAACTGTAAACCAATAAATGTTATTTTTAAGAGTTTGCTAGAGTAACATTCAGGAAATTATTCGGGTACAGGGGAAACTGGCTGGCAGTCTTATTATGAAACTCAAGTGTGTAAAACTAAATCAGTTACCATTGCAAATGATACCCTTCTGCTAGAACAGCAGTGGACATCTAAATGTTCATTGCCACGCTGTTACAAACAAAAAAATGTTGAGCTAATGGTATTTCGGTGTTTGTCTTTCAAGGTACATTTTAACACTGCCTTCATGTGATTGGCTGATTAGATATTTGCAATAATAAGCAGTTTAACTGTGTACTTAGTAAAGTGTAGAATAAAGTGTAAAGTATAAAAAGATGAATGAATGTTCACAGACGTTACAAAGACAATGGCCAACTATGGCCACAAGATGGCGCTACATTACAGGGTTAATGAAAAGAGGGACTATTCGATACTACAAGTGAGACAACACTGTTTGAGAGGACAGACTGCTTTCCTTTTGTATGTTTGAACTGATGTCTATTTTTAGGTTTCACGATGAAACGCCCTGAAGTTACATGATGTTAACTCTTGGTCAGTTTGTTCTTTGGGCTAGTTTAAGGTGCAATACTTGCAAAATGAAACCAAGGAAGCAACATGTCCTGCTGCTGTGGATTCTACTTTCCTCCACTGTGATCAAGGAAACTGAGCCCTTCAGCAGTTTCAAATTCCCTAATATCAAAGAGACATGGAATTCTATTTGGGGCGAGAGCTGTAATTCATACTGGATTTCCTTCAACAAGACAGGTAACACACCCAGCAAACAGCTTGTGAAATCTAAACAGTAAAGGTCTAATTATTAATTTTTAACTTTACTTGGGAAGGTAACCAATTTCCATGATTTAAATTGAGTTTAGAAAAAAGACCGATGACAAGAATATAGTTTATAAATGACACAGATACAGCACCTTTACAGGTTGGATCTTGGTAGTGGGCTGAAGTCCACCCCCTAAATCAACTGGGGTGCATCTGCCTTGAAAACAAAAGTGCATATAACAAAATAATACAACACAAATATTTATTGTATTTCCAAATTATAAGTCCTTGTGGTTACTGAAAACTACTGTATATTAAATAATCTACATGAAAAAAATACAAAACAATATAAAAGATTAATACAGAAGCAAACATGGTCACACAGTTTGGGTGATCCACTGTGTATTATTATCATTATTATTATTCATACATTTGCCATGTAGAAAAGGAAGAACTGTGTAACCTTGAGTCTTTGTGATTCTACACAGTCTAGATATCAAAGTGTCTTTTGTCTCTTAAAACAAAACCCAAGAAGCAGCCGTGCTGGTTTAACCTGCTTTCAGGGTGGGGCGCAAAAGTCCTAGCTTACTTGACTGCTTCTGAAATGCTTGTGATCTCTGCTTTACTAGAACTAGTATTCTAGTATGATTAAAAAAATAGCTCCATAGATATACAGTACAGATATTGATATTATTTCAATTGATAATTATTATGTTATGTTTTTTAAATATAAATCTACTGGGCAAAGAGCTCAATATAAAGCATCCAGAGTCTTCTACAAAGTCATGCTGTTGTAATTCACTGGCTGGGCCCACGTCTTCATTTTAGGATTTACAGCGTTTTAGTAGGTAAAGGTGAATGCTTGGACATGAATTGAGCTGCGGTGTGGGGAAGGCCTCGAAGGGGACTGGCGACGGCTCCCGGGCCTGGCAGATCCCCATGTATTAAATAGAAGTGAAGAAGTTAAAGAACTGAGAACAAGGAGGGTGGGTGGGGCACGTAAACGAGAATGAACAGTTTGTGGAACTGGGGGGAACCTATATAGATGCAACCAGAAGGAGCGTGTTTGGAGGCGTGGTCCCGCTCCTGAAATTCAGATACATAATCTCCAATAGATGTAGTGTATGATTTAACACAGTCTTCCTGAAGTATGCAAAGCTTTCCCTGCAGAAAAAGAAATGATAGCATATGTTACTCTAAAAATCTTTCCAGCTGTTCAAGCTGCCAGTTCCATAGGTAATAATGCACGAACATCCTATCAGCAAATGCAGGCTTTGAACTGAGTGCTGCTAAAAACAACCCCAAAAAACAAAAACAAAAAAACCCCAACAGATTTGGTCAAATCTGACCACAGAACAGTTTTGCACTTTGCTTCAGTTTATTTTAAATTAGCTTTGCCCCAGATAAGATTGCTTCTGGATCATCCTTGATGTTTCTATGTTAGTTTAAATAAATCAACACCCCCGAATCATACTATCAGAATCCTTGAAGCGCAGGCTGAGGAGGGTGTGTGGCAGCAGTCTTCCACTCTCAATTAACCAAAGACCCAGACAGAGTTTTGATTCATTTGAAGTCTGATGCTTAGCCTTGTCCACTCTAACTGGAAAACTCAAAAACCTGTTTTATTTGTTATTATCTATCGTCCACCTGGGCCTTACACAAAGTTTTTGTCTGATTTCTCAGGGCTTTTATTTAATCTGATTTAGTGGTCAGACTTTAATATATGTTTAGATGCTAACAATGACAGCCTCAGCATAGCATTTAATCTGTTATTAGACTAAATTAAATTTATTCTAAATGTAAAAGAGCCCCCCAGCACTTTAATCACACTCTAGATCTTGTTCTGACATATGGCATAGAAACGTAACATTTAACATTATTTCCTGAAATACCTCTTTTTTCTGATCATTTCCTAAAAACATTTACATTTTGGTTACACAGCTCTGGGTAGTAGATTTCATCACAGTAGATATCTTTCTGAAAACACTGTAACTAAGTTGAAAAATATAATTCACCCACTGTTATCATCTTCAATGCCCTGAACCAACACAGTGGAGAGCAGCTACATGAACGCAAATCCAACAGAGGTCGATTATACTGTTAATGGTTTTACATCTTCACTGTGAATGACTGGATACTGTAGCTTCTCAGAAACAGAGAGCCTTAAATCAGAAGTATTTGATTTCCTGGTATAACTCTCAAAAACTCACCTTAACCTCCTAAGTCCCAAACTCTTCCACAGCATGCATTTTTAATTTCTCTTTGATATTTGGACTGATTGGGACCCGATGAATGTAAAAACAAAGAATTACCAGATTATTTTTAACCTAATTTTTGTTTCTAAGAAAATGAGAGCCACATATGAGGATATTCTTTTAAAATTTCAATTGAACAGTAGCATTATAAAGTCCTCGTCAGTGGATATCAGGCCCTTGCAGACCAAAATTGAGTATTTTGGTCTAAATAACCCAAAATGTGATGTCCACATATGTGGACGCCAGGTCCTAGGAGGTTAAAGCCTGAGAAGGAATGGCGTGCACTAATTTAGAAGATCATCTTTTAGTCTGGAAAAGTAGTTTACTGCTTTATAAAAAAGCCCTCTATAAAGCTAGATCATTTTACTATTCATCACTGATTGAAGAAAATAAGAACAACCCTACATTTCTCTTCAGCACTGTAGTCAGGCTGACAAAAAGTCAGTTCTGTTGCTCTGTTTCTTTAACTTTAACTGTAATGACTTCATGACATGAACCACGACTGGCTGAAAAGACAGCAGTTGTTGAGCGTTAAAAATCTTTATGGAGATACTTGATCAGGCTAGGCACTAAAAAGCAGTATTTATTAGTAGCAGGCTTCTGTTTTGAGTCCATATTGAGATCCTGGCATTTTTGAGATGGCAGTTTTGTATATGATACTTAACAAAAGTTAGCACTGTAAACAACTCCACTAAACTACACATGTACACAAGTTTTGTGATGGTTTCTCAGAGCAACAGTCATTGCTGTAGGAGTGAAGATCTACACATTTTTGTCGGCCTGCAGCCTGCCCACCCCTTTGGAAAGTAGACAGGGCTCTTGTGCAGTCTATGCAATTTCTCCATTCACTGAACAAAAAATTAATTTTGTCTTAATTTTTGCGTGGGTAGATCTGCTAAGTCCACCCTTGCTCAAATAGCTTTTCTTTTAAACCTCCTCTCACGTCAGTCACATTTTCAGTCACTAATCCTGCTGACTTTCTGCTATGTATTCTCAAGGTCTGAAGGCTGACTTGACATGTTAGGTTACCACAGGAAGTAGAATTTTACTGGATTAGTGTAATTTCAGTCACTTTTTAGCAACGGATCCTGGTGACTTTCTGTACTCTTCCACTCTATAGGTCTGAAGGCTGACCTGGGAAACAAACTCTTTGGACAACATATTGCTTCAAATACCATTTTTAAATCTGTGAGTGGATTTATGAAAGATAATAACCCGAAGAAGCCTCTGGTGCTCTCTCTGCACGGACCAACTGGCACAGGGAAGAACTTTGTTAGCCAGCTGATTGCAGACAATGTTTACAAGAAGGGATATCACAGCAAGTTTGTTCACGTGTTCTCAGCTACACATCACTTCCCCCATCGAAGTGAAATTGTTACCTATAAAGTATGGAGTATCATGTGTTTCAAGTGAAACTCAGTTTATTTGTTCTGATTGGTTTGTCTGTTCTGTCTGTATTAATTCTATTTGCTGCTCTCTCCTCAGTCTCAGTTACAGGAGTCCATCAAAAACAGCGTTACAAACTGTGAACGCTCAATGTTCATATTTGATGAGATGGACAAAATTCCTCCTGGTGTGATTGACAGCATAAAGCCATATTTGGACTATGGAAAAGTGGAAGGAGTTTTTTTTCAAAGATCGATCATCATCTTTCTCAGGTAAAAATCTGGAAGCCTTTCCAGAGGTAAGTTTAATGCTTCCACTTTGTTAGGGACTGGTAAAATAACTTAATTTGTTACAATATATGTCAGGTCGGGTATCAGATGCCACCTCTCTAGGGACTTCTCAGGCCATCCAAGGTATGGAGGCCTATCTCCCCCACCATCCCCCTGCCAGTGGCAGACGCTCTCAGACATCGGTGCGTTGGTGGTTCTTTGTGTTCGGGGATGGGCGTCCAGGTACGCACCAGCTCACTCCTGGTGGCTGCTTGTCGGGGCCTGGAGCCTGGGGCTCGCTCGGGCCCCTTCGGAGGTGGGGTGCCCCCGGGCTCTCGGCCTGGGGCTCGGTCACTCTGGCACAGCTGGCTGCCGGCGGAGCTCACGGGCACGTCACTGGCAACTCCCTCTGGCTTCTGCTCCGCGGCTGCTGAGTGACCCTCATCTGGGGCTCTCCTCAGCTCTTTCTGGGATAGTGGCAGCTGCCCCTCCGTTGGTCTTCCTTGGTCTCTTGTGCTCTGAGGGCCTCTGGATGTCTGGAGCCTGGATCTCCCCCATACCTGCTTCATGCCCAGGAGGATGGGGCTATGGCCCCCCTCACACCCTCTACCAGATCATTACATGAAGGAACCTTTTAAATACAAGCGCGCTCATGCTCACAGGTGTACACACGGGTGCTCACACACACAAATTACACCCTTTTTGGCTCAAAGCACACTGTGCGCTGTCGGTCCTGCATGCTGCACAACAACATTCAATATTTAGTATTTACTGTTATATTTGCATAGATCATCGCAATGATGTTGTTTATTATATTGCTCTTTTTTTGCTTGTTTTCTCTTTTTTCTTTCTCAACAGGTGATTGATTTATGTATTTTTTGTCAGTTTGTTTTGTTGGTTTTTGTTTTTTGCCCTTTATCACCGTTCCTCTTCCCCGCTATTTTTCTTTCCCTCTTTCTTTCTCCCTTTTTCTTTTCCCCAGTCAAGTCTGTCCTGTGTTCAGCAAGTGAAAATAAAATAAAATAATCAATTAAATCAAAGGTGAATCAAATAGACCAATATGGCAAGGCTGGGATGGTCCATTTGGTGAGAAAGAAAAAAAAAAAAGTCAAAGTGACACATAGAGGGTTTAAGATGGGAGACTATTTCGGGCAGAGTGCTCACTGAAAAAGGCTCAAAGTGATCAAACACAACTGAGGAAATCAGGGGAACAAAGGGATCATAACCTGGAGGAGAGATATGAGACCTGATAGTATCAACCTTATCGACAGAAAAACATAAAAATGTTTTCACAGGTGGCTGGAGACCCTGGTAGGTGTGAGGTGGGTTGAGGGTTGATAACAGAATTAATGGTGTTGAATAAGACACGGGGCCTGTAGCTGTGGTTAGAGATTATATCTGATAAATACTTTTTGAATAGCATCCTGATAAAGAAATAGGGCTTCCCTTAACAAATCAAAGGAAATCTGGAGTTTATCTTTTTCCATTTTCTTTCCGCTTTTCTACACGTCCTTCTGACAGCCCGAGTGACATAGTTTAACCAAGGATCATTTTAGACCTATTAAACTTGTTTTATTTAAAAGGAGCAACAATATCAAGAACATTTGAACAAGTGGTATTGAACAAAGTGAGCAAATGATCAGCATGCGGTTTAAGGGAACAATTGTCCAAGGAAGGGACACCAATATTCTGATAAACAGCCGAGAAATGTCCAGCAGTAGCAGGAGTGATGATGCAGAATTCATGCGCAGGTAAAAGAGGTTTAACTGGAGGACATGGCACCGAAATCTGGATGATAACAGGCATGTGATTAGAAAAGTGATAACTAACAAACTAACTAAGATGCTATCTTAGCATCTACTATCTATAAAATATATTATAGTTATATATAGTTATATTTGTTAGCACCTATTATAAAATACAAAATATTTGAAAACGGACCAGTTGCTCATTCACGTTATGACACTTCTTATGTTTTTACTATTTCTTTTTTCTTTCTCACAGCAATACAGGAGCAGATCAAATTACAAAAACAGCTGTAGATTTCTGGAAAAATGGAAAAGATCGAGAAGAGATGATGCTCAAAGATTTTGAAAGTTTCATTTCTCCTATAGTTTTCAACAGTGATAGTGTACGATGATCATCTTTCTTACTGAAAATCTCTCTTTGTAGGCGGTTTTTCAAAGTCAACTTTTATTGACAGTTGTCTGGTTGATGTTTTCATCCCATTCCTGCCTCTGGAGTACAAACATGTTGTACAGTGTGCGATGGCTGCGATGAGAGACAAAGGTCTTCAGCCAGATGAAAATGTGGCAGACCAGGTGGCCAGAAGTTTAGTCTATTACCCCAAACTGGAGCAAGTATTTTCCGTGAGTGGCTGCAAGACAGTAGCAAATAGGGTGCACTTATACAGATGAAGACTGATTCTACTCTGATTTCTACTGTATGTATGATTTTATTAACTCTTTTTTTTGATTTTATTAACTCTAAACTAGACAACTCAAAAGTCAGCAAAGCATGTTACAGAAAACAAGATTTTCAAATAAAAATATGATGCAATTTTCTGTCTCATATTACATATATAAAGTTTTCCAAAATGTGTTGCAGGAATTTTTTATGCTTACAAGAATGTTTTGATTCCACTTGACAGGATTTTTGGCGTACACGCAAAAGAAAATCATCATGATTATAATATGAAACATAGTACATCTTATATTTTTTAAATTGGGCTTTAATTTACTCAAGCACAAAAACACATATTTGCTTATATAAAAAGAGAAAAAAATAACATCTAAAATCATTGATTAGAAAGAAGTGAATAGAGTGAAGGCGCTTCAGCCTTTTATAACTGCAGTGCACACAATCAGCCACTCATTGCCTCTTGGATTACCATGGGATCCCCAGGCAGCCAATCATCTGCGTGGGCTGTCACACTTCAATCTGCCTACGAGAGGGAGGCACAGGACTCCAATTAACCATTTGTCAACGAGTCCTTGCACTCTTGGATTTGCTTGAAGCAAAGGGAGGTCTCACTCCCTCCGAGGCCCAGGGCTGTGACATCATGTTGTTGTAATGATTTTTACTTTAAGTTTACTTAAGCTTCCCTTGTATACTTTGTTTCTTGTTTCTCTGCCATGTTTACTTTCTGTTTTAAGTTGACAGTCTTTGTCTTTTGTGCCTTGTTTTTATTTTACTTTCTCAAATCTCATTATCTGATCTTGTTCAGCTGTGTGTAATTCTCAATGTCATGGTCCTGGGTGTGACCCAGTGTTTTGTGTTTAATTAATATTTCTTCATTATTTGTTATTCATGGTTTTAGTTGTTTTGAGGTTATATTGTGTTGCTCTAGCTTATAGTTTCAGTCAGTGTGCCTTCCCTGTGTCCATGTTATATCTACTCTGTGCTTTTTTCCCGTCCCATGGTTCAATCCTCTGCCTCAGTGTAGAGTCCGCTTCTCTGTTTTATACTTCCTCTTTTATTTTGACAGTCTGTTTTTAGTCATTGGATTCTGCTTTGCTTTTTTTTGTCTTATTAAGTCTGATTACTCCCAGCTGTTTTCTCCTGCTGTGTCTCATTCCCTTGTTATCCCACTGTTTATATAAGCCCTGGGTTTTCCCTTATTCTTTGTTGTGTTGTACCCTCATTATGCCAAGTTGACAGATGCTGGTTTGTTTTCTTGTTGAAGTTTCTTGTTTCCTGTTTCTAGTTTAGTTTTGCATTTGATGTTAGTTTTTTCCAGCAATAAAAGCTACCGTTTTGATTTTAATCAAACTTTGGCCTGAGTTTCAACCCTGTGCTGTTCTCCTTATTCTATAGTTTGCTTATTTTGCCTATTCATGTGTGCTTCTGGAGCTCAGGAAGATTTTGGAGTCTTTTCTGAGTTTTCTTTGTGGATTTTTATGGACTTCAGTTTTTCACCTAAATAAAGACTGGTTTGTTTATTAGGTTATACACCTTGGGAGGTCCTTTTTGGCACAATTATAACATTTATAAGCAAACTGAACAAACACTATATCACATACAAACAGTCTTTTGGGGATTCAAGATGTTTTTCTGATCTTAATGTTCTTTTTCTTTTAGCTGCTCCCTTTAAGAGCATCACTCGAGTCATAAGAGATGCGTTTGACGACAAGCGCACACATACAAGTAGAGTTGTGGCGAGTCGAATAGGTACTAATGGAAAAGGGGCTTTAGTGCCAACTGTGCATTGTTTAAGTGCCACAGCCTTCATGAGTATTGTTGCTAAACATGTACAACACCTGATGACCACACGGCAGGTGCTTCCAGCATGGGACAAGTGGCCCCAACCTGGTAAAAGCAAGATGTTCCTAATAAATTGTTTGGTGAGTGATTAGATCGTTTTAGTTGCATTAGTTCTGATGGTGAGAAGGTGAAACAAAGGTTCAGAGGTTACAGTAGATTTTATTATGACTGCTGCAGGTTTCATCCACTGGGGGGGTGAAGTCTGCACATCTAGAGACTGGAGAGCACTTCCTGCATGTGGAAAACTGACAACACAGTGTAAAGTATTAGTTCTACATTCATATACTCGGTGATCCAGCCTCTGAATTTAGACATAAACAGAGATGATTCACCTCCAGGTTTCTGCTTGTGTTGTTCTTTGTGTCTGACTGCCTCCTGGTGGTCAAACCTGTGGAGCGCAAATACAAAAGCTTTTTGTTTCTTTTCTTTTTCTGTTTAGTTAAAAGATTATTAATATTGAGCTAGAGAACCACTCACCATCAGTCTCCCTTATTCTGATCCATTTGTAGAAGAGCAACACAACAGCAGCAAACAGCACAGTGACACATGTGACCAGAGGCAGGACATGAGCTGAGCAGGTAAGAAGAGACAGAGGAGTAAAAGAAAACATCAGAAAAATTAAATGACTAATAATTAAATCATTATTTAAGTGAATACTTTACCCACTTAAATACCTTTTGATGTAGAATATATAGACAGTATATAAAGTTTATTTATGCTACTTCCAACCACGTCTGCCTTCAAAAATGTACTTTTAACAGCTTAAAGGTGAAAAATTTTCATTTTGTGTATATAGTCATGAATCTGTATATACAAGAGCAGTCAGATGACAAATATTTTCAAGGACAAGGAAAATACAGGGAGTTCTTTTTGCTTATTTTTGCTCAACATGCTTATTTGTGCTTTCTCAGCTCCCAAGTCCAAGGCATCAACTTTATTTCACTCAGACCAGACAATAAAAACACTCCAGAGAGTCACAAGTTAAGCTTTCTGACTGACTCCTAAAATAAGGTTTTAAAAACTTGAAGTAGTCTTTACATTTTGTTATAAATAACAAAATATTCTGTAGATATGAGAGAGGCAGCTGTGCACACTCGTACCTTTGAAACTGAGAGCCTGAGCTGTTTCGCCAGTCTGCTGCTGTTCAAGCTGCCTCAGTGTCTCAGGGAAAGTCTTCAAGGCTGTGAATAACAAAATAAACCAGTTAATTAATGTAGCTGCATGATGCATGCAATACTTTATGACCAACAACTAAGTTTATTGATTTAAATATAATAATATGACATTTAAAAGATCAGCAGCTGTCTGTAATCTATAAAAAAAATGAAACGAGGGTTTTGGCAACATCGACTGTCGCCACCAATTACTGTATTTTTGGACCAGAGTATTTTTTATACATGTTACCCGGGAACACAATAAGCTAACATTTGCAGAAATCTTGATAATAAAAAGTAGAACCATTGATTTCTTAAACCATTACTTGGTTTAAGGCATGACTTAAGAATTAAGTGGGATTGTTCAATGTCTATGTGAGGTCATTTTTCTTATTTGTGACCTTCATGTCTGAAACAAAGGCTCACATCAGACTTTAACAGTAAAAGGTTGTTTTTTTTTGTTTAGTTTTTTTTAACCTCATGTTAAAATTGTAAAGTTTTAATATTATCAATACTGGCTCAATATCGGATTGTAAAGTAAAACATGTCTTGACTGTTCTTGCAGGTAAATCTGCAGGTGCGGCACTTGTATTACACAAAACAGATGAAACGAAATGGTGAAAACTTTATGGCTGATCCATAAAAATGCAATGCATTGTGAGGATTATGACTGAGGATTTTGATTTGTCCTTATTTATAAATGACGAAGAAACTCACCATCTATAACTCTGACTTCAAACTCCTGATATGAGTCTGGTAAGAGAGGCCGTTCCAAACCACACGAGTATCGTCCAGAGTCGGACTTTGTGAGCTCTGTGAAGCTCACATACAGAACTGTAGACGATACTGGAAAGGATCCCTCTTCATACTGGATGCTATATCGGCCCCTTTGAGCTGTGTCACCTTCAGTTTCAATGAGAACGTCTCCTTCTTCGCATTTATCCTTACAGAGAAACTTTTTTCTTCCAGATAAGGAGAAGGAGCACTCCACTGTGATACTGCCTCCTTCTGTGTGGATGATTGTTTTTGCACTGATGAGCCCACAGCTACACAGCGCTGTGGAAAACATACATAATGATAGTGATTACTGTTTTTTGTTAAACGTTAATTGTTGAACAGAATCCAGCATCAGGCTGAGAACGTTCAGCATATCTCTGATTCTGTTTAATTCATCTAGTTTATTACTGACAATCAAGTTTTACGTCTGCATTCGTCTCTCTTTCATATAATTAACTCTATATTTGTTAAATCTTACAGTGTGGAAATTTTACTCTGGGTTAAAAGGTCCAGTCAGTTAACTGCTAAGTTAAAATTTTTAAAACTTTTTTTCTTTTTACCTTATGTCATTCTCATTAAAATATGTTTCCCTTCTTTCTTTGCACAAGGTTTTACTACTTCGTCAAATTTTAATTTTTGGCTGAAAATTGTCAAACTAATGTTTATAAATAAAAACATAAATTAAATAGCACTATGACAGAAAACAAAAGGAAATAAGTATTAATCATTCTTAATTATTATTAATTATTATTAAGTATTTGCGTGGTTTCCTTTCTTTTAGCATTGGGCCAGTTAGGTTTAGATAGTTTTTTTTTACACTCCTTTTAGTTCTTACTAAATTAGATTACAAAAATATATTGAAACAGATGCATAATACTGGAACACTGAAATGCACTATAAAGTAAAGCGCCTGAGTGAACCTATAGCTGCTTTAAACCGCTTGAATCAATATGATGAGAAGGACAATGAGTTCTCACCTGAGAAGAAGAAGGACCAGTAGAAGAGGAGACAGTGGATGTTCATTCTGAAGTTAATTCAGTAGGAGAATAAACTGCAGGAGATCACTTCACTGCTTCTAGTCTCTAAATATCTGAGCAGTCGGGAAGCTGAAGCTACACACTTCAGTGTCTTACTTCCTCATTTTGCTTTGAACTTTTCTTCTACACCCACCATTTAATTGTGTTAGGAATCAGTCAGTCCTATTGACCTGCAGCTGGTTCAGAATTCACCAGTAATACTTGCCCAGTAAAGGCCTATCTTCACTGGTTACCAGTAAAATATAGGATTTAAAGATTGTTTTCTTTGTTTTGAAAACACAAAGGTTACCCTCCCCGCTAACGCTGCAGAAAATAAAATCTTAAAAACAAAAACACTTTAACTGAACCCCCGCTGAGGTTCACCTGGAGTGAACTTTAACACCACATCTTCCTTCCTACAATAACTTTTTCAACCTGAGTATTTTTTGTTGGGATGTTGACTGTCTGAAATTTAATGGTCACAGTATGTCTGACCACATTGTTTAATTATTTACAGTTTATGTATTTCATGTACATCAGTGCCCATTTTTGATGAAGGCAGCAGAAGGAAAATGCTCTTTTTGTCTTGTTCTAAGTTGCCATGTGCCTAATACAACACGAAGTGGATATATTTTGTAAGTCATATCCTCTGTTTACGTGATAATGTCTCTAAAATATACATATTTACTCTACAAAGAGTAAATATATGAACATCAAAGTTAGTTACATTTGATAAGCTCCTCCTGAAAACTCTGCAGCATAATTTCAAAGAGATTAAAAATAGACACCAGGTGCCTCTCTGACAAGTAGTCGCTTCCTTATTGTGGTGGAGACAGATGTAAGAAAAAATAGATCATCTACATCTCCTGTCAGAAGTGATCAGTATTCTGTGGAGTCAGATTGAGGCTGGATAGCATATTGTGTTTGTATATATATATATATATTGAGATATAACCTGAGGTAACCTGAGTTCCTCCTCAGGGCCGTAAAAATTACAGCAATGCAGATTTCTTATAATAATAGTAATGAAAGTGGAAGTCATCATGAAAAAGAATAGAAATAAACGGAAGTTCTTGACATGTATCTAGCAGACAAAAGAATAATTATGATTCATGTGACATTACCAATAAATTACATTCACAGGGCCGCATTTAAGGGGATCAGATATCATTTAAACATTGCAATTTAACTTCACGCTCATTGACTTGAGACATTCCTTGCCTAGCAATAAACCAGTGAAGGCTAATGTTGATTTTATGTTTTTTCTCTTTATTTCATTATGTAGACATGAAAAAAAGTAAAACTCTCCAAATTGTTCGTACTGTTTAAGCTTTATTGTCACATGCAGCAAAAATACCACGAGAAACTACTACATCTTTACTGAATACTCCATAACTAACCAGGTAACACTTACTTTTAACTGAATAAAAGATTTACCAAAGTAAATCCACACCTTTTGCATTTCTTCTTCTTTTCTAACTAAATTTATAAACAATGTGAGGAAAAGGAAAAGACACATTCTACCAGAAAGAACCCCCCCCGAACATAACCTATTGATTATCAGTGCAGATTTGCATTTGGTGGAGGCTCAAATAAAGAGTACAGCGCTTCTTCCCTGCTGCTGAGCTCCTGGTATGTTGACCCGTCAGTGGCACTTTGGTAGACTTCAGCAACATCATCATAGACAGCAACCTAAAACAAACAAACAATCGATCAAGCAAACAGACAGACCTACAAACAAATTATTGGGATGACAAGGAGTGATAGCTGAAATAACTGATTTCAGAGAGAAATACCTCCATATTTCTTCCATTACCTCTCGTGTTCACATCTGTAAGATATAGCAGAAACGTGTTTTTTTCTTTCCTTTTAACTCATTCACTGCAATTGACGTCTATAGCCGTCAATTCACTGCCAATGGCTGGCAGTGAATGAGTTAATAGAAACTTAATAAACAATAAAAGTAACTTACACTGAACACGCTTACGCTTTATCTTCAGTTTGTAGAAGAGCAGAACAAAAACAGCGAGTAGCACCACAACCACAGTCACGCATACAGCCAGCAGCAGGATGTTACCTGATTGAGAGGCGGGGGAGAGTGGGAACGATTGAACAAATTAAACCATTTGCACATGAGAATTGCAGATGACCTCGGGCAAATTAGCTTGTAATTTTCTCTCATATAGTACACCTTCAAGGTCTGTACGATGAAGCAGGATTGGAGTCTGCTTAATAAGATCCAAAGTAGTAGTTGTATAAACACTGACTCTTACAAACTTCATTCCTGCTGGTTTTAATTCTTGTTTTCATACTTGTTCATTGCATGATCTCACTTTTAACACTCCTGGGACTGCAGCTGAAAGAAGAGGACTAAACGACTGAGGAGAAAAGAGTTTTATGCACATTAAAATAATTTAACAAACTGCCTGAAACCCTGGATCAACTTATTGAGGTGGTAACCGTCTTTGTGTGATTCCTGATATTGAAGTAAACTTAATCAGATAAGGAAAGGATTTTCTGGTTATACTGAACTTTATTTGTGATAAGGGCTCTAAAAGATGCCTCACATATTCTCCCATTTTAAAATGAGATATAAGCTTGATTATAACCTGCTACTCTTTGATTAAGGGATGTAAGTTGACACAGGGTTTCTGCAGACTGCATCAAGTTGGACTGGAAAAGTTCATTCTTCATCTTGAAAACACAATGAAAGCAAATGGAAGGACTACTATGGACCATTGCATGTATCAGTAAAGTCGTTCATCAGACCCGGAGACATGCAGGTACATTTTCCAGTAGAAACTCACCATCTGTTACTGAGATCTCAAATTCCAGGCATGTATTTTTTGCATCTTTTTTTCGCACGCCACACTTGTACCGCCCAGAGTCCGACTTGATTAGGTTTGTGATGGTCACGTTAAACACCGTGTTACTCCAATACTCAATTTCATGTCTGCCATTCATAATTGTGAGATTATTTGTGTTGATGATCGTTGTTTTACATTCATCTTTACAGAGGAACTTTATGTTTCGTGAATGTAAAGGCAAGAGGCATCTGATTGTAACCTCCCCTCCCACAGTAGCACTGTAGACTTTGGGTTTACCATTGGTGATATCTTCTTCACAGAGTTCTGTTGAGATATAAAAATATAGACTGACATAGAGAACTACCTGAAGCAATCAATATAAAATCCTTGACTTTGGAAGAAACTCACCTCTAACTTTGAGCTCTACTACCTGAAATAAATTCAGGGATGAAGAATTGCTCACACCAATTTTGTACCGTCCAGAGTCAGACTGGGTCAGCTCTTTGATGACTGCATGCACTCTCTTGTCACTTATGTCATATCGTATTATGTATCTGCCACTCTCAGCTCTGTTTTCAGTAGTTTCAATGAGGATGTCTTCCTTTTCAGTATCATTCCTGCAGATATATTTTCTACTTCCTGCAGGCACTTCATGGTCAAGTTCAATTCTGAAGTCTTCGCCTTCCACTTTTGTATAAAGGTTTGTTTGTGCGTTGATGAGATGAGTATTTTTGTCAAATAGTCCTGCTGTGATATAAAGAACAACACCCTTGGTCAATATAAAACTCTTGTTTGTGACTCAACTCAAGAGTTGTGAGTATTTAGCTAATTTAATACCTTCTTGTATTTTGATTATTTTCTCTAATGTCTCTAATTTATGAAATTTGCAGGTGTGTTTTTCATGCTTTTGTCATCCAAATTTGACATTTCTGGGTTTTGGATTTAAACCCTGGACAGTAAGAAATATTTTGGACTATTTTATTGACAAACAATGATATCAATATCAATAAAAAAACATTCAAAATTTGCAAATTCATAGTCTCTGTGTGTTCAGAGATAAATTAGTATGAATTTAACTTTTTTTGCCCAGAAACTGGTAATAATGATAATGAAAACTTCACAAAATGTGAGCTGCTGTATTTAAGAGTCATTCTGGTGACGGATACTCACCTGATAAGACACAGAAGAACAGAACATGGTGGATATTCATTCTGAATCTTGAGCCTGTTGGTTTGACAGTCAGACAATCAACAAATGGCTGGAGAACTGCCTCTGTCTGGTGTTTAAATAAATCCTTGCAACTTCTCAGTTTAACCTTTACCAACTTCCTGAGTTAAGTTACTCCACTAAACTGTTATGTCACCCCCCTGCCGCCTTCTCCAAAACTGAGCTTTTACTCAATTTCCCACTCAGTCTTCCTTATTTTTGTTTTGACTGTGACCTCATTTGGAAATAATAACCTGAGATAAATGTTGAACATTTTTAGATGATGCCTGTCACCCCTTTCCTCCAGTTAAACCACTTCACTCTTCCTCACTGGTATCTATTTGGCATTTACGTCTCAGGTGTTGACAGATCTTTCTCCCGGTTGAATACAACTGACAAGGATGATTCTCTACAAACTGACTAAACAAACACCTTAGATATTTAAACATATTATTTTTTTGAAAAGGTCAAACTGGCAGATGTGTCAAAAAAAACTGCAGCATCATTTTTTAAGTGCTGAGACTGATTCTTACACTTCTGTGTGATTTTTGTGCCTAACAGGGTTCAGGTCACGGGGGTAACAGTCTGAGCAGAGAAACGCAGTCTTCCCTCACCCCAGCATCCTCTTCCAGCTCATCCAGGGGGACACTGAGACAGCCAGCCGGGAGACATAATCTCCAAGGCAACTCCTGGGTCTGCTCCGGGGCAACTCCCGGTACAACATGCCTGGACTTCCTCACCGTGAAGGCGCCCAGGAAGAATCCTTGTCAGGTGCCCAAACCACCTCAGCTGGCTTCTTTTGATGTGGAGGAGCAGTGGCTTTATTTTGAGTCCCTCTTGAATGACCCAGCTCCTTGCCCTATCTCCAAGGGACAGCCCAGCCACTCTTCCTTAGAGGAAACTAATTTCTGCTGCTTGTATCCACGACTTCATTCTTTCGGGTACTACTCAGAGCTCGTGACCATAGGTGAGGGTAGGAAGATAGACTGACTGATAAATCGACAGCTTCACTTTTATGCTCAGGTCTCTCTCTAAC